GATGAAGTCCATCGACACCGAGCGCAGACCTCGATGCCACTGGTAGAGGACGCAAGGGAGCCTGCAAAGACGAGGCAGGTTTCATGCGCTGGCAGGTCTCGCAGGTGCGCACCCACTTACGCACCCAGTTGTACAGGTGTGGCCAATAAAAGTCGCGTGACACAGCGGCAAATGTCTTCTCGCGACCGAGATGAGCGCCCAGCGGGGCATCATGAAACTCATGGATAATCCGTGAGCGCAGATCGGGGTCGTTAGAGATAACGACACGTTGTCGATGCTGTACGCCAGCAGCTCGTCCTCGAGACGATATCGGTGGATTTTGTTTCGTACAGAGCGGGAAAGGGCTCCCAGTGTGTCGGCGCTGGGAGAGCGGAGATGCTTCAGGATACTGGAGCACGTCGAGTCATGTTCGTAGGATACTGGAGCACGTCGAGTCATGTTCGTAAGCAGCTCGGATCTCGTCGCGAAGTGGCATTACCGGGGAGACGCTCGTCAGGTTGACGCCTGACGCCTCGCACGTGGCACACTCGTCTACATCGTCTTCATCCAGCGAAGCTTGTCGACCCAATGCACCGCGTGGGTCGTAGTCGGGACGCCGAGACAAAGCGTCGCCGAGAATGTTGTTCTTGCCGGGTTTGTAGTGGACAACGAAGTTGTACTCGGAGAAGAACGAAAGCCAGCGGGCCATCCGTTGGGAGAGATGAGGACTCTTCATCGCTGTCCTCAGCGATGCATGATCGGTGTACACCGCGAAGGTATCCTCACCCAACAAGTACACTCTGAACTTGATCAGAGCGTAGCGCATCGCAAGGAGCTCCTTGTCGTGAACAGGGTAGTTGAGCTCCGCCGGCTTCATCTGCCTAGACTGGTAGCTTACGACACGCTCTCGATCTTCTTCATCGAATTGCATCAGCGCACAGCCGATGGCGAAATCGCTCGCGTCGCAGACGACGTGAAAAGGCTTCGAGTCATCCGGGAGCGCGAGGATTGGGGCCTCGGCGAGACTCTTCTTCACCGAGTCGAAGGCGGCAAATGAGTGTGCGGAAGTCCACGACCACGACACATCTTCTCAACAACGA